TTGTATTCCAAAAATAAGCCCTTATGTTGTGATATTATTATAGAAATCATCTCCCCTTTTTGAGTCTGCAAATGATAAAACGATTCTTTCTAAATTGTTGTTGCTCTAGGTTAAATATCTCTCAAAGATCATTGGCCTGGTAATTCAGTAGAAATTGCATGAGAACCACATACTGAAAGATTTGAACACTGCTTTGTATTTTTAGAGTTGCTAAATAGGCATATATACATGGCCATTACAGTGCTAAATAAAAAAATTCTGTTCATGTTTTTGGAGATAAATTACACTGAAATTGAAGCAAAACTATTTGGGTTCTAAAAACACTTCACTATGTAATCTCATAAGCCCCAGAGAAAGATGTCATGATTGTGACAAAGTAAACTAAGCATAAGCACATTTGAAGATTCAGTGAGGAAATTTGGGTACATCTTCAGTACATCAGAGAAAAATAAGACTTCTGAAGTGCTGTACAACTACAGCAAAAATATAATTTTAACATGTGTTTTATTATTTCCCTCTTGAAGAAAAAAACTTCTAGCTTACTTAGAATGCAAAACTAAAGGAACACAGATGATGGAGTTTGTAAAGTTTCTACTTTACAAACTGTCAGCACAAACTTTTCTTGACAATAAGTTGCCCATACATTCCAATGGTACACTTTAGAGTTTGAAAATAAATTTGACAATTCAATTGTGTAAAGCAACTAAACACATGCCAATTTGAAAGCTTGAAAGTTTCAGTATGCAATTCCCAAATACCACAGGGTTTTGACATGGAAATGCAGCCATTGCACCTTACCTAGCTTTTTTTTAACTGTCTCTTCCTCCAATGAGACCCCAGGGCAGCATCTGGAAAGGAAACTTGGGCACCTTCAAATGGTTCCACATTAACTGTTGGGCTGGGCAGAGAACTGCACTGACAATGCAGTTGTCCACAGCTGAACCACAAGGAAATTCCTGGGGGGGTTATTTATATGCCACTCTGACACATTCTGCTCTCGGGGTGCTCAAAAAGTCACCTTCACTGAGGAGCTACAGGGCTCTTTTTCCAAGAGCCAAGCAAAGCTCATCCTCTTCATGGAAATCACTTCTGGAGATCTACAACCTTGTTGACCCAAAAACACTTAACCACAAGCAGCAGAAGCCTCAGGAACAGCTCCCATCTCTGCACAGGAGGAGGAAGTCAAACCCAAATCTTTGCTGTCCTGCAGGAACTCTGCAGTCAAAGGGTCTGCTGTTAGAGGCATTTCCATCCCCACTTGATACAGTTCAATGCTGTGGTACTTCCATGCAGGAAGCACCACAGCATTGCTGGTGAGCCAGAAGATAATTCCTACTTCCCAAATGCAGTTACAGATTATATTACTCAATAAAACATGAGTACTGACAAAAAGAACATATTATTACAAAGCATTGTTCCAGCAGGAGTTATTTATTTGCCTGAACACATTTGTGACCTGAGCTGTCTACAGCATCTTGGCATAAGTTACAAAAAGAATATGCACACCACGTTTTGACTAGAGAAAAAATCATCACCAAATTGTTGAAACACAAATAGATCAGCTTTATTTATGACAACCTGAGAAAAATGTTAACAGTTCCTAATTGTTTCCTGATATTGGTGACTAACAAGCTACATGATTCAGACCTCGTATGCTTTATTATTGAGTGGCAAATCAACATTCAATGGGCAGATCCACTTATCAGACAAGGGCCCATTATTCTCTGCAAGAGGAAAATGGCAAATATTGAATGAAACAAAGTAAGACCTTTACAACAAAGGAAGAGACTTCGTTTAATTATTTATCCACCAAAACATACTAGTTTAGCTTACTTTTAAACCAATATAGAAAAATGTATTTGAGTACTGGAATGAGACTGCCATATGCCATCTGAATTTGAGTTTAAAATGAAAATGAACCAACTCAGGCTTCTGTTTCCAATATGGATGACAATGTTCAGCTGCCTAAAGCCATTTCTTCCATTTTTTGGATATAAAAGCGGCAATTTACACTCAGTTCTTCACTGAAAGCAATTTGTCACTACTTCCATCTTTGCCATTATAGATGCAGCTGCCCTGATTTATGCCAGTGTATTAACAGAATCAGGCAGCTACACTACAATAATGCAAATATTGCCTTGCTGTGTACTGCCTTGCCCTAAATGCCATTGCATAGTTGCATAGTTTAGGTATTGCATATATACACACGTTATAGAAAAACACACACACGCATATATATATCTGCCTTCTGAGTATTTTTATGTCCTAATTAGTTGTATCTTGCCCATACTGGTGAAGTTTGTGCCAAGCATACTGTGTGTGCTTGGAGGTTTGTAACACGACTAGCCCATTACTGGCAGTCAGAGAGAGATACTAAAGGTCATTTTTGTTTATGTCAGACACAGGATGTTTCAGAAGCTTTGATGAAGCAGCTACATCTGTGCTCTCTGTGGGTTGGATCCACTCCACACATACTTCTGGAGGACAAAAAAAGCAGATCGGACAAGAGGGAAGCGCTATCCTGGGCTTCACTGGAAGCCAATCTCACTAAATGCTCCACATAACCCAGGCTTTTCACAGCATCCCAGGCAGTGGGGCTGTGCAGCTCAAGACATCCTTCATGGAGGGACAAAGGCTTCTCCTTATTATCAGTTTTAATCTAATAGAAAGGGTTCATGGCATTTATTTCCTCTATAGCAAAATTAACTCTACTTGCAAAGTTTCCTCCCCCTCAGAGGGAAATTAGATGTAGGCTCAGAAGCCCAAATCCGCAATGGTATTTAAGTGCCTGAGGAACTGTGCCAGAGTGTCTGGCACGGGAAGCTAAGCAGACTCAATTTTAAAAGGGAACATACTGAATGGAGAGACAGACTTAAAGCTCAGGAGAATGAAATATTCCTTTTATCTACTATGGGGGGAGCTGTTCCATGGCAAAACAAACTTCAGTTCTTGTCCAGTTTTCTGCTTTAACCCACCACGGGTACCATGTCCATCCATATTTGAGACAGGCTTTTGCTGCAGCTGGCACCAAACTAGTCACAAATGCTACTTGGAGGGCATCAACATCAGTGTGGTGGGAACTGGACACAGATAAATACAGCTTGCATTGAACACATGAGCAGTTGTCTACAAGTTCCTTGTCCTGCAGGACTCATAAAAATAATCTCTGTGGAAGATACTAATATTCACCTTGCTTAAAAACAAGGAAAAAAAGTAGTAGAAGCAGTAGAAAACATTTTTTTTAAACCCATGTTACTAATGATATTATACAGCCTGTGCATTTTGTCATTAAAATTTATTTTCCATTTTTATATCTTAACATTTTACAGTGAACCCATTTTATTAATTTCCTTATATGTCTATACTGGGACAAATTTTATTCTCAGCAGTACTTGGGTAAATATGTAGCTGATGGAATTACCCCAGTCTCACAGCACTGCAACAAAGGACACTTTGGTTCTCTGTGTGCACAGGAATTTGGGCTAAAGAGTGACACAATGGTGGGACTGCATCAGCACATGAAGGTTGCTTAACACACAGTACACTCCAATATGGCACTGCTAACCTGCAGGTCATAACATCACTCTAATCATGTGTCTTGTTCAAGATAATAGAACAAAATTTTGGGGGCTTTAAACACCCTTATTACAGCTGACTTAGTCTTTAGAGAAATGTTATAACCCCAGAAATTATTAGTCACATTCTGATATACAGGAACAGGTTTCCAATGTTGATGTTCAACATGTAGATACATGGAGAAGAAAGCAGTGGAAAACAATGAGAACATCCCAAAAAAAAAAAGAAGTCAGTGAACAAACTTCTTTTTCATTCCAGTATTTTGAAATTCAACTACAAATTAGCTTGTTAATCATCAAAAAGACAAAAAACACAAACCATAAAAGCTATTTGTTAATATTGTCTATTATTTCACCCTGTTCTCACAAAGATCACACCTGCTCAAAGATGACTGTATAGCAGAGAAAAAGGAAAGCATTTGAATGCCAGGAATACCTCCTGTATTTATATTCCTAAAAGACTTATATATCTAAAAGTCTTTGTATTAAAAATAAAAAAAAAATCTGAAAATCTTTACAGGGAATAGGAGCTGAAAAGAGATTTCTTCAATTCACTGTATTGCTTTCTCAAATAACAGCAAAACACTATTAGAATCTGACATTGATTTATGTGATTTGAAGTGAGGTTAGGAAACATATGCTAGAACAAACAAGTATCAGTCCTTGTGGCTGTGCTTTGAAGACACACAAACCCCTTTCACTCCAGTTTCTGATGTGTTTATAGAAACAAAAGACATCATTTATCTGCCATAAGGTGTTCACTGAAGAGGTTCATGCTGTGAGGATTTCCATGGCAACTACTTAAAGAGATATAAGTGTTCATTTCTGAAACTGAAAGCCCAGGGACATGATTAGTTATAGTAATGATACCACATAAAACCACCTAAACAGAGATCTTTTGTTCAGAGCCAAGTAACTTCTCTTTTCCTGTGTGAGAACCAGCATTCCTAAATTAACCAAAAACAAAACAAAACAAAAAAAACACAAACCAAAACAACACTAAGAAAATATTTATGTTTTCTCTCATTTTTTTACAAGAAACAATAATGCATACAAAGCTAAAATAATTATTTCCTTACAGTAATTATTTTATTTAAAATAAAAGGAAATCATTTTATAAAACTCCTTATAGTTCAATATAGTAGGTAGTCCATAAAAAGTGTACATAAGGATGATACTTTGTCACCCAAAAGAGACACAAAACCAGATTTTGCAGAACTTTTCCAAATCTATTGAGATTCATTTGCAAAGAAATTCCAAAGAGATGACAAGCACTAGATGGTCACTAAAAGATTTAAAAGTACTCACCAGTATAATAAAGCTGTAACAACAAACTGAAGCTTTGGTGTGATATAGCAGAAAAAAAGGAGAACCTAAATTAATAAGCATTACTCCAAACTGGAGAGAAAAACAAGCAACACCTACCTTAGCAAACACAGATCTGGAACATTCTGCACACCTGTTTCCCCACCCTCCAGATGCAGTCTTGATTTTACCAGGCACAAATCAGGAACAGGAATTAATCACCTGCATCCAATCCCAACCTGCAGACACATTAGAGATCACAATCAGAAAGCACAGATGCAATCCAAGGTTAATTTATAATGGGATGGGTCTAATAGGGAACACGTCCTAAAATCACTTGGTCCCAACTAAATCTTCTTAGCTGTAGCCTTTATGGAGATTGCTTGATCCAGCTGAATGTATACATCTCAGAGGTGATGGTAGACACTTTTATTCATCACTTAAGGTCATAATTTAAAAGGCCTCCTTCTTCAGTACAGTGAAGCTGACATAAAGCACTAAAGACAGCTTGAAAACTACACTTTATGTGATCATCTGAAGGAGAGGATTTTATATCAACTCAAGTAAAACTCCACAGAACACCTAGTTTTTATATTCTCTAATTCTCATCTATATCAGATCTCCATTAAAACTGCATAACATTAATTTATCAGGAAAGCTTAATAGTCTTCTATTGGAAGTTTTGTCCATTAAGTTGATATTAATGTCACTTTGTGCAAGGCCTGAACAGATGTCCTTTTTTTCCTACAAGGGCTATTATTTAAAGATATGCTCACAGAGGGAATTTCTTACAATAAAAATGCCTGGAAATAAATGTTCCCTGAGATACAGCATCACATCTTTTTATCTTCTGACTGGCGAAACAATGGCAAAACTGTATTGTTCATTTTAAAGGACATTTAAGGACTCATTCATGAAAGACATTATAGTGGTAGAGATATATCAAGGAAGAGCAGTGAGTCAGACTCTCAGCAGCTACATCAGCTGGAAGAAGCCACTGAGAACCAGACTCCACAAGAACTCCCTCTACAATTCTACTCTGCCTATTTTTAGCACTGAAAAATACTTTTACTCTCTTGGGTGAAATGCAGATGGCAAGATTCAAAGGGACTTAAACTAAACTGTCTTGGGATTACAGCAATAGGCAGCAAAACCTTTACTAGGGGTGCCCTCCAAATGGGTTGAAGAAAAGGATGAGCTGAGCTAGAGAACAAAAGTGGAATTAATCCACTAATCAGCCAGCATCCTGCAAGCAGGGACTGGGCATGAAAACAACTCCACTGCCAGAATTAAATGGGGAATGGATATTTATTCTCACTGTCCCCTTCATCTGTCACTGCCTCTCAACCTGGGCACTGGAGAATGGCACCTTCTCCTTGTCAGTTCAATGTCAGCTCAGTTCAATGAGGGCTTTTCCTGAGCAGCGGTGAAAATACTGAGTTCCTTAAAGTGCTCCGTGTAGGGCTTTTTACTACATTCACTGCCACAGGGCACAGGGATAAGACATAGAGGGGTCCCTTGTGGCTTGGATGGACAGTGCTACTGCTGCATCCTCAGAGGAGTTTTTCTTTAGGATCCCCTGTTCTCTGGGTAAAACCTAACCCTCTCTCTTCTTAGTCTGTGCTGGTGCTGGAGACCATGCAGGAAAAGCTGCACAGAGGGTAAATCCCACTATACTTAAGTCATCAGTAAAGCAAATACTCTGTAATGTAAGGCTGCCATGATCAGCAAGGCATTGTAAAAACTTGGATTGTTTTTGATTGGCTTGTGGGCTAAACAACGAGTTAGAGAAAGGGAGCTGCACAGCAAACAGGGAAAAGCATCTGACAAAAGCCTCATTAGCCTTCCCTTTCCTTCATCCACAGCATATGTTTGCTTTGCCTGTTAGCAGCACTTCTGCAGGTCTGTATGCTCAGTACTTATCCTAAGTATCCAGCAGTGAGAAACAAAGGCTGCATAGTCCTCTCTGTTATTGTGTTAAAACTTGGCTTTTCTAATCACTATGATGTGAAAATTCAGGTGCCTGAGAAAAAGACATCTAGACTAGAGCAGAGATGACTAAGAAAAAGAGTCCTACCACTTAATTGCATTTGTACCAAAATATTACCTCTTGATGTGTAAACATCAAATTAGCAATATTCTCAGGGCAAGCAGTAATACAGCAATCAAGCAACTCCTTCCAGCTACATGGCAACAACTGTGTGCTTTCCTGTCCTACCACATTTTCCTCAATATTTGTCACACTGTGCATTGAATATACTTAAAACTACCCCTGTGCTGTAGACTATTAAATTCCAGTTATTCTATCCCTTTGTACTAACATCAGAACTTTGAAGCTTATCAGAATTTCTGTTTCCATTTTGTAGAGAGAACCCTTTGCCAGGGCTGGCAGCAACATGAGGAGCCAGCAAGCCAAAATGATACTTCAAGCCCTGCATTTATACACTGATGGCTCTCCCATATTCCACTGGAATCTGCAATTGAAATTCAGCATTATCCAAACCAAATTCAAAATAATCCCGGTATTTCTTAGCATTAAAAAAGTAACTTTTAAATAAAACAATTTTGGTTTTGTACCCATACTTCTACTTTAATCAGATCTGTTTCTGCAATATTACTGTCCTGTTGCTACTTGGCACATTATTCTTCACATTCTTCAGCAGTTTAGACATTGTCTAGGGATCTTAATCCCCAGTGCAAAGAGGAAACTCCTGACACTTTAGAACTGTGAGCATGGCACAAGTCCATTCAGTAAATTGTCTTGGGTTACTCTATGACTCCAATATGCCTCTGATGCTGAAAAGGCAAGTGATGGAAGTGACAATGAGAGCAGTTTCCAGTCTCATCCCATAGCTCTGTCCTGAGGTGTCCTGAGGTGTTCCAGCTATTGCACTTCAAAATTAGGGTTAGGGAGTACCGTGAGGGAAGATCATTCCTAAGGATCAGTTCTTGCAGGATGAATGAAGTTTTTTCTCCCTCCAGCCTTTGCAATCCTCTGACATTACCCACCATGGATTACATTCTCCACCACTCCTGGCATTCTCCTCATGCCACATTTCAGACCATAAAACATGTGATACAATCTCCTCATGTGCAGTGTTCTCTCAGGAAAACACAATCTTTTTGGAACTTCCCATTTAGACCATCTCGTTTTCAATTCAAAACAAGCTTGCAATATTATCCACAGCTCATTTCCTACTTCCCCCAGAACAACAGATCTATACATTTATCCACTTTCTATGGTGTATAAATTTATCTCACTGTGCAAATATGCAGAGCAGTGCTTGAATGCATATTTAGAAAGAAAATATTGCTTCAGGGAGCACGAGGGATGTGTTATTCCCTGTTCTCTGAGTTCAGTCAGCAAAATCTCCTTGATGGATGTCAACAGTCAGTCACAATTTTCATCTGTAAAAATAGGAGAAGGATCTGACAGCCATAAAAATTACATCTGTTCCACTGCAACCATCTGTAATTCAATCTGCAAAATATTAATCAAGTTTATTTGACATGATTTTTCCTCTATCATCAGCTCATGATGCTTATTGCTTCTTGGTCTGTTACAATTATACACAAGACTTTTACTGTCCTTAATATTTATTCCTTTACTTTCAGAGAGATTGAGTTAGATTTATTGGACAATGCTTTTTAAGATCAATACCACATTCATTACCTTCTTTTAATCATTCTATACATATCATGTCTTTGCTATATGACTCTCCATGGTCTGGCCTTTCTTTGCACTGCTAACCTAGCATGGTATGTTTAGGTTTCACGGGACATTTCAATGTTATAACTCCCTAAACACTCAGAGATTAGCAGGTCAAACACCTTCTTGCATTTTATGAAAATTTCTTAGTTTCATTTTACTATCCTGAGTTCTCAGACCTTGCTCTGATGTCAGGATACATTTCATTTTTCCCAACAATGACAAGGGAAGAGTACTTCCCTCACCTCCCTCCTTTAAGCTAAACACACATTCACAAATCAGGTCAAATTCCAGTATCCTAGAAGTCAGGCTTAGAGTTAAATATTTTCTTAGTTTGTAGAAAGATCTAAACACTAGAGTGAAACTCAGTGGGGGAAACTGGGCAACAAGGAACACACTTAAACACAAACAAATCCACTGCATAAAAACATGGACAACAACTTGCTCTGCAAATGTTCTACTGGAGAACACTTGGAAATTATTGTAGATCACAAGATGAAAATAATGGATCCCCAGCACTTTAGAAAGGAAAGAACAGACTGTACAGAGATGCACAAACAAAATCCTGAAGGAATTCCCCTCAGACCATGAGAGATTCACAAGGCTGCAGGTAAATACAGCTCCCTGATGTATGTTCCACATCTGAGGAGGGAAGGAGGCAATACACAGCTCCAGCTCCTCACCCCAGCCAAACAACACTCTGCCAGTACAGGTTTTTTTATTAAAATGCGACATCTGAATACTTTTTTTCACAAAGATGGAAGAGATTCTGACTCAGAATCTGAGTCTTCATATAAAGCAAAGCACCTCTCAAAGATCCCCACTATGTCTTATGATTCTTTGTTTAAACTTAAAATTTCATTTTTAGATTTTATAAACTTGTCAGTTTCAGGAAAAAAAATTAAACATGGGCTAAATGTTAAACATGAATATTAATCTTAAACACGGCTGTTAAAATCTGAATGTTTGTGATAAATAAAGCAGTCTCTCTATCAGGTGCTTATTCTTTTTGTCATTCTCCAAATGAGATTTCAAATTAGAAAGGTTTGACCTACTCATCCCCTGATACAGTTACCAAGGAAGTCATAACAGACAAGAAGAGAGCTGTTTCTACCTAGCATTTCCAAGCAAAAGTCAAGAATCATAAATTAAACTTACCTCAAAGTATCCAAAGCACTATCAGTGTAAATGCTGGATTCTAATAAAATCTCTGTAAATGTTTTCTACCTCTGGTACTGCAGCTCAAGAGGACATAAATTGCTGTTTCATTCACAGAGGGACATTTAGCCTTCTTTTTAAATGAATTCTAAAACCTTGTGAAATCTGCACATTTAGCCACTGGTCTGCAAATATTAGGAGTGCCTAAATTCTAAAATATTTTTAAGCATGTCAATTTAACATACAGCCAGATGTAAATTGTCTACTTTCAGCCTGATTCTTTGGCCTAGCTTTTTGCTAA